AAATGAACAAATCTGAGAGAGGTCCACATGTAGTACCTATATATGTAATATCAAAGCAATTGGACTTGCGGTTTTCAACAAGAAGTCGTAAATATCACTTTTTACCAAAAATGACAAAAATATTCACCAAAATTAGAGAATTAAAGATATCATCACAAAATGAACAAATCTGAGAGAGGTCCACATGTAGTACCTATACATGTAATATCAAAGCAATTGGACTTGCGGTTTTTAACAAGAATTCAAAAATATCATTTTTCAACATAAATGATTGTGGTTTTTAACAAGAAGAAAATATCACTTTTTACCAAAAATGACAAAAATATTCACCAAAATTAGAGAATTAAAGATATCATTACAAAATGAACAAATCTGAGAGAGGTCCACATGTAGTACCTATATATGTAATATCAAAGCAATTGGACTTGCGGTTTTTAACAAGAAGTTGAAAATATCACTTTTTACCAAAAATGACAAAAATATTCACCAAAATTAGAGAATTGAAGATATCATCATGAAATGAACAAATCTAAGAGAGGTCTACCCAAGGTACATATACACCAAGTATCAAAGCATTCAGGCTTGTAGTTTTCAAGAAGAAGTCGAAAAAGTAAAACATTGACACGGACGATGGACGACGACGGACAATCACTCATATGATAAGCTCCGCTCGACAAAGTCGACAGCGGAGCTAAAAAAAATGATAAGACAAAGAGAAAAATAATGAAAAGTAAAACAATGACTATAAATGGGTAATAATATGTTTTAATGTATGTGATTAAAAGTGTTGATGATAAATTCAAATTTGTCACTATAACTGTCTTACTGTCACCGCCATATTGTTCCAAACACCAAAACATCAACATTGGGCTAAGTTGCTGAATGGTTTGTTATGTGCATCTCCAGATTGTTACCTGATTAGAACTGGTTAGTTCAAACCACTTTTTACAAGGGTGTGCCGTTCAGCTAAATGCACTATCACATTCACGAGTGTTATGACATGCACCAAACAAACCATCAACTATGTCCTGATATTTCATATTTCAATACATACATTTTATTTGGATCACATGACCATTTATTACATGTATATAGGAATGTATACGACTGAGTGAAATAAATTGAAAGGCAATTGCATCATGATCATCTATTTACCAGTATATTAAACACTTGAAGTCTCCTGTTGAATTTGGTTTGATCCAGCTTGTTCTAATCGCATAAAAGGCACGCATACATGTAGCAAACCAGTCAGCATCTTAGCCGGCAATGTTGCTGTATTGGTGTTCGGAACAATATGACGGTGACAGTAAAACCGTTCTCATTAAAAAACTAAGAGAAATAATTAAATGATTAAAGGAAATGAGGAATCATTAATTATTTAATGTAGTATGCGCATTAAAAATAGAAAGTTTAAAATAGAAAAATAAGAAAAATAAATTGAGAGAAGTTGAGCTGAAAGCATTGACTTCTGAATTGAGGCACAAAGGGTTTATTTGTCTGATTTCCAGTATTTCTACAATAATTGTTTGTAAGTCAAGTACTAATCATGGATTTTGAGATTTTCAAATGACAAATGAATGTAGCTACTTCACATCTGTATAAATATGTGAATAAGTGCTATATATTAAGTCATGATTGGATTTGTCCTTCAGAATATGTTGACAGTATGGCAGTGATAAATTCTTAATTAGATTATAGTGACGGCATTAGTGTGAATGGAAAGCTGCTGGTGGATTCAGCATGCAGTCTTGAGT